CTAGTGGGTGAGAGGAATCCATCATCACCAAAATCGTTGCCATCTATTTTACAAAAGTATTTGCAAAATTGCCCAAAAATATGATATTATATTAAATACGGAGTAAATCTTTACAGTATGGACAAAGTATCAACTCGCCAGAGACTAATGCCATCTTTTCTGGTGGCAATTAGGGTGTTGCGTGACTCTTAAAGTCTAAAGCTCCATAGACTGATTCGGTGTGACATCACGAGTCAGAGTCACCATTCCGGTTGATGAAAACAAACCTGTAGCTCGCAGATACCTTGTTATCAGCACGAGCGAAAATGGTGCATGAATGCTTAGATTCTTTAAAAACTGAAGCAAAAAAGCAATATAAATCAAAGCTAGAAGCTGTGCAGCTACAAGAATGCCTGCTGAAATTGGGATCGACCATCCTACGAAATATTCAATATCCCGACATCTAAAACTATTTGATCAACACACAATGTAATAAAAATGATTTTATGATGACATAATTTGCTACATTAATCTATGATTTTTAGCTATAAAGGTTATTTTTCTGTTAAATCAGTGCCATTTCCTAACATCAATTTTCTTCCTATTTACAAGATGTTTACACAAAGGAGACAATGAAGTCCCATATGGGCCGACAAATGCACAACCCATATTTCTCTTTCCTCAGTAATTTGAGATAGGCCCTCTTCAGTTGTTTCATCTGCTGGACTATATGACTTTTCAGACACAGAGGCAACAGGAATTTGTTTCTTCTGAATGCTTGGCATCTCCTTATCTAGGATGCTTTTCTTCCTATTTCAAATCTTTTTAACAGTATGACTGCTTTATTTTCATCTAGAGGACTGTGTTTGGGATAAAGTCTGGGTGAGTTGGATCCGGGGATGGTTTGCCTGTAAATTAGAATTATGATAAATCAATTAATTACAGAAAAATGCAAAATTGCTGTTGTACTTTTTGGTGTATGACTGCTGCCAAAACCTAATGTCAGCAATGTTGACCTTGTTTGGCCTTGGTAGATAGTGTAGATACATAGAATTTGAAAGTTAGTATCTGTCTCTAGAATTTGAAAAGGTGTATAATGTTATTATATAATAAAATGTTCTGAGCACATGTAAAGTTTCCACCAGACGACCAAGCACTCCCATCAGTGTTCAAGTGTTTCATGAGCTGTACCCATTGCTTCCATTCTTCGTTTCTTTTCGCAATCTGGGAATATATAAAAGGTTAAACCTTTCTTTCCCATCATGTTGTAGTTCAAACAACCAACAGCAACACAGCTCCTCAGCATTTTCACACAAAGAAACTAGATACTCGCAAAATTTCAGCGACTCTGTAAGCAAAGTGCAGTGAGTTTCTAAATGAACGAGGGTTTGTTTTCACCAAGAGCTCTTTGCTATGGGTTGCGATTGCTAGGCGTTACCAAATCGGTCTATAAGAAAGTGAGATGAATCATTCTCATTCATAGCTTTCTCTAAAAATGGGCAGTGCAAACCTGCAGCACAAGTATAGGTGACGAAAGCCTTATGGTACGATTTACCTTTTTCTTCTTTCTGAAATTCCAGAATTGTTTTACCCACTAATGAATAAATGGGGTAATTTTAGGAAAACTGTAAGCAAGTTAGCTGCTGTTTAATAAATGAAAAGAGAGTAAACAGACCGGCTGTGACTTAAGCGCTATCGTGCTCATTGATTTGTGTGATAATATTATTTATCAGACTTTAATACCAGTAAAATTAATATCTACCGTGGTGCCGACCTCCTCAAAAGATGCTCTTCAGCCTTTTTGTTTACATGAGGCGCACGCACAACGAACTTATTATTATTTCAATTACATCTTATACATTTAGTTTGTTTAATTTAGTTTATAATAAAACTGATGATATGGAAAATATATGATCAAAGAAAAGGGATAGAAATCAAGCATATGCATGTGATCTTCGTTTGTACACAGATCACAACTGTTAAATTTCTTTCCAACAAAGCCTCTTCATACTGTACGTATTCATACATTCTGAATATTCTTTTCTACTTTCCATTAGAAACACGCCAAACAGAGGGAGATTAAGGAATATCAATGTACTCGCGATCATCAAATCGGATTCTATACTGAGCAAATAATCATACTTTCAATAAGATCTCACTTATCAAAAATGAACCATGCCATCAAGAGTACCTTTAAATAAATATGGTTTAAAAGATAATAGAAAAAATAGAGAAAAAAATACGAATATTATAAGTTCGTTTAGGTAAATCCGGCCTTAGAAGAACGCCCGAGACGAAGTTACATCATTACGTGACTGAAGTCCGGTGCGGCGAGAGGGTGACAGGAAGAGCTAAGGCGACCCAAGGAGAAAGACTAAAGCGTGGGGAAGAATTGAGGAAGTTAAGATACAGAAGAGTCCATCATGAGTGCTTTGTGCTTGGCATCGAGGTTCTGTAGGGGTTTGAAGGTGAAAATAAGTTATTTTGTATATTGTTGGAGGTATTATACATAACTTAGTGTTTATGCAATGGGATATGATTGGTATATAATCTGTCTTTTGATACTATTCTACTTAATCGAGTAAATAACACAGATGCATGCCCTTTTTGTTATCGTTAGTACTGTTGGTCATTTAATCCAAATCAGATTACAAGTAAATTTTTAGAATTCTGAGAATATCATTCAAAGGATGTTGCTACTGTTTTGCAATTTGAAGGTTTATCCGAAAAAGAAGGATGTTTTCACATATGTATATTAATTGTGTTTTGTCAAAATCCGCTTGTATTTTTTTAAGAACTGATGTGAGTTATAGAATCTGAATTCTTATGCAATTCTTGTGCAGTGCTTTATGCTTTCATTGCCTCTTCCACCTAATATATTCTAGTGCGCATTGACTCCTTAGGTGATTGTAAGGTACCACTGAGGAGGCGGTTTATTGGCATTTGCCAAAGTGCTGACGGTTACACTGGCCATAGATGTGGTGTAAAGCCAGTTGCTAAATATTTACCCTTTTTTTTTTTATATGCTCTGTCTCATCCCGTATCTTCATAACACACTCCTACTTTTATGTATTTTAGTTTTAAGAAAGTTATGATTGAATTATCAACACTATGGCCTTTATTATTTATTTTGTAATTAGTAGTCTATCATTTAAAAAGAAAAATGCATAATTATCAGGCATAAATGAAACCATTCTCTCTAACTCAAAGTTTAAGTAGAGGAGAAATCTTATATCTAAAGATAGATGTGGTTGCCGTGACTATTTGGTGATTTAAACTTTTTTTTTTTTTTTTTTTTTCTTTCTTTCTTTCTTTTTGAAGATATACATATTGTGTATGCTGTATGTCTTTTTGATGAAAGTGTAAAAGATATGAATGAAGAATCCTAAAGTCCAGTTCCTATTCACACTATTTCTACATTTTTCACACTGAACTCTGATTTAATGTTACTCCATATGACCATTTGAATTACTATAGTGCAATACTCATGACCATTTATGGAGTCTTTCTTCTCATTCTTAATTGTAACTCTTTCATCGTTTCTCAGCTAGGTTTTGAAAAATATTCTTTTAGTATTCTCTTAATTTTTGTATCAAATTACAACTCATATACATGTCACAACAGGTATCTTACATCCGCCCGGCTCTTGCAAGGACAACCGTGACAGTCGCAGCTGAGACAACCCAGAAAGTGGCCATCGAAGAGATTCCAGCAGTAGGGAAGAAATGGGTTGGGCGATGGCTCTTTGGCTGCTCAGGGATGGTCTTTGGGGCTGTCGTTATAGGTTGGTTGCGATTTATTTTGTGTACGTGTGTGCAAGCGTGTGTGTGTGCAAGCGTGTGTGTGTGCAAGCGTGTGTGTGTGCAAGCGTGTGTGTGTGCAAGCGTGTGTGTGTGCAAGCGTGTGTGTGTGCAAGCGTGTGTGTGTGCAAGCGTGTGTGTGTGCATGCGTGTGTGCGCGCATGCGTGTGTGCGCGCATGCGTGTGTGTGCGCATGCGTGTGTGTGCGCATGTGTGTGTGTGTGTGTGTGTGTGTGTGTGTGTGTGTGTGTGTGTGTGTGTGTGTGTGTGTGTGTGTGTGTGTGTGTGTGTGTGTGTGTGTGTGTGTGTGTGTGTGTGTGTGTGTGTGCATATAGACTTATATATGTGCATGTACAAGCGCTTTTTTAGGGAGGTTATTTAATGATTTTGTGCAGTAGTTATATAGTAACTGTGAAATGATCATGCACAGGAGTTATGAATAATCCTCCACTAGAAATTTCATAAGTACCAGCCTACCAAAAAGAACTCAAATGAAATTAATATTTTCTTCTGCATTTGTTTAATTTTTTCAATCTGTGGCTGACATCTTCCTCTCTCCTTTCACAGGAGGCCTGACACGCTTGACAGAGTCAGGCTTATCAATGACAGACTGGCATTTATTTGGTAAACGACCTCCCATGACTGAGGCAGAATGGGAGCGGGAATTTGCCCAGTATCAAGAATTCCCTGAATACAAATTGTAAGCCTGAAAAGATTTTTTTTTCTATTTCTCTATACTCCTTTCTCTTTATTCATCACTGATACTGTATTAAATGAAGTTTACATGCTTTTGGCTTTGAACAGAGATCTCTGTTTTTTATTGAATTAGTAGAATTTGATTATACGCTTAACCCTTTAAGCATCCCCTCACCCCCCATTAATTTTCCCCTAGACCATGAAATTTTTAATTTCACTTTTACATAATCATGAATATGTAATTTTACATATAGAAATTTCATGATCACATCCCTGTTGAAAGAAACAGTTTTCAGTCTATAATGTATTGTCCTAAATCAGCACTATTATCTTCAGTACATTTGCTGATATCATTACTTATCAGCACTGTTATTATTATCATCATCGTCATTTTTAATATCATAACTACAGCTCTGCATCAGTGCTATTATTGTTAAATTGATAAATTGAGGATGTTTTATTTTTATTTTATTATATTTTTTATCCCATAGGAAAAACCAGGGAATGAGCCTTTCAGAGTTCAAATTCATATGGTGGATGGAATACGGACACAGGCAGTGGGGTCGCACTATTGGCACCTTCTTCTTGTTGCCTGCTGCTTACTTCTGGCACAAGGGTTGGTTTACACGTTTGTTGAAGAAGAGAGTGCTGGTTTGTGGGGCTCTAATTGGCTGCCAGGTCAGTGCATTATTTTTATAATTATTTTTTTCTTTCTTTCTTTCTTTTTTCTTTTCTTTCACATTTTCTTTTTACTCTTTACTTTTTACTTTTTACTTAAAGATTAACTGTTTGTATTGTTAGGCAGGCTTGTGTGTGGTTGCTATTATCATTTTTATCATTTTTGCTTTAATATCATTAGTAAAATTACTATGATTGTTATAATTATTAATGATAGTATTGAGGATTTTGAATTTGTAATTAAAATTATAATTAGACTGCATTTATTACTAGAAACAAATCAAACTGCATACAAAGAATTAAAGGTTACCATTCAAAAGAAAAAAAAGGAAGGAGTGAAAGCAACAAACGACAAATGAAAATGTGACAATGATCCATTCATGCTTACTATTATTGAATCATTATTTTTACGCATATGGACATGCGCGCGCGCACACACACACACACACACACACACACACACACACACACACACACACACACACACACACACACACACACACAGCACACACACGCACACACACGCACACACACGCACACACACGCACACACACACACACACACACACACACACACACACACACACACACACACACACACACACACACACACATATACACACACACACAGATATATGATATCATCTTATTAATTCTCATTCTAGTTCTTCCCTAACACCCAAGATCATCTTTTCTAACTAATCCCATTGAACAACTACAGGGCCTCCTGGGCTGGTACATGGTCAAATCCGGTTTAGAAGATCGCTTCAAGGACCCTTCTGATGTGCCCCGAGTGTCCCAATACCGCTTAATGTCCCACCTGGGTATGGCTTTCATCCTCTACAGTCTCTTCCTGTGGAATGCCCTTGATGTCACCTATCCAGCACAAAAACTCAAGCAAGTAAGTGCATTGTTTAGGGGTGAAGGAAGTGGTTGAGGGGAAAACAGGAGAGGTTGGAGGAGATAGATTGAAATATATATTCATTAATTCTTAAAGGAATAGTCATGGATAGCATTAGCTGTCAATTCAAATGTTGATGAATGATGGAGCAAATAGAGGAAATATATGGAAATACATCTTTTTCGTGTGTAATGAATTTTATATTCTAATACAGTAAGGTACAAGTGAATTAGTGTACGGATACTTCATATTTTCAAAAAGCACATTCCTTATCAGAACAAGACAAGCACACACTCAAAAAAAACTCTTTTCAACTTCCTTGGATTCCCACACAGGTTACTGCTCAGGCACTGAAGTACCGCAAGTTTGCCCATATTACCAAAGGATGGGTGTTCCTCACAGCCCTCTCAGGTGTGTTGGAAGTGATGAAGATTTTGTTAAACATTTAATTGTAAGACACTTATTATCTTCAGATAGAGTATAATGAATATTGTATTTGATTCATGTATATGTAATATTCATATACTTTTAGTGATCACTTATATATAATGTCTATATTGTATACTTATCAGTATATGAGAATTTACCTTTTCATATCCTAATGATATTTAATAATTCTTTCTATATTTTTATGGCAGTTATCTTTTTCTGTGGTACCAAATGGTTGCAGTCATCATAAAAGTTGGGAATTAATTGGTTAATATAATAATAATGTAACTTGAAAAGAATGCATCATGCTAGGATGTTTATACACAGAAATGTATGTAAAGCCTTTGCATTCTATAAATAAAACATAAACAATATGAGTAGGAATCAAGGATAGAAGAGAAATAATAGATTGATTAATAGGAACAAGAAGCAGAAGGAAAGTACTACACAAATAGGGACTAAAATGTACATAGGAAATAATACACAATCATAGCATGCCACATCCAGATAAAATTCAAAAAGAAATTGACACAACTAGTAAGTAAGAGGGGAAGGCTCAATATTAACTCTCATTTTCCCACTCTTAGGTGCCCTAGTAGCTGGCCTGGATGCAGGTTTGGTGTACAACTCCTTCCCCAAATTTGCTGACAGGTGGATCCCTAGCGATATTCTGGCATTCTCACCTGCCCTGCGAAACTTCACTGAGAATCCCACCACTGTGCAATTTGACCACAGGATCCTGGTAAGGAGCCTTTTCTTCTTCTTTTTCTAATTACTGTATACGAACAGCATTCAGATGTCAGGAAGAAAAGTAACCATATTTTGTCTTTTATGGTGATGTTTGAGGAAGTTTGTAAATACTCCCCTCCTCCAAAAAGAAGTAAATAGATAAAGAATGATAATGATGATCATAATCATAACAGAAGCACTAATAATAACTAAAACAACAATAAAAATAGCCAAAACAATAATAAGTTCTAACAACTCTATAGGGAACAGTTGCCCTGGGACTGGCAAC